AGACAACATTTAATGGGACCAAAAGAGAGAAGCAGGATATGGTTAGATATACACAAAAGTTAATTGCAAAGTTAAATCTTGTAATCACCTCCCTTTTGTGTTGACCTTACCAATGATCCCTGTGCCTTGGGGAATGTGTTGGTGTTTCATCATGAAAACACATATACATACATCCCTTATATCAGAGGAGCTGTGAACTACTTTTCATTTCATCAATCATTCCAAAGATGCAAAGAACTGCCCACTTATGTTTGTGTGTTCTGTTCTTAAACACAGTTACTTGTTGTGAGCTCTTCGGAAAATTTAACATGCCAAGCTTGTTCAAAGAAGGCGACATAATGATAGGAGGGATTTTTCCAGTTTTGAACAAAGAAATCGGCAGCATTGTTACATTTGAGAGAGAGCCTCCTGGAGTGAAGTGTGCAGTGTAAGTTTTTATGTATCTGATTTTTCTCAACATGCGTCATTTTAATTGTGTAAAAAGATTCCTATTACTTATACATGTACATTCCACAGCTTCATCTGTTGTTTTATTGCACAGGTTTGATCTGCGAGCTTTTCGATGGGCCCAAGTGATGATATTTGCAATTGAAGAAATAAACAACAATCCTCATCTCCTTCCTAATTTATCTCTTGGATACAGGATCCTTAATTCATGTTCATCTCCCACAAATACCTTACGTGCTGCTTTAACATTGGCCAGTAGACCAGTGGAGAAAGAAATGTCTTCCTCTTGTCTTCCAACTATGTCTGCGGTCATAGCAGAGGCAGGGTCATCGCAGTCCATGGCTGTGGCTGGAACACTTGGACCATTTCAAGTGCCAGTAGTGAGTAGGGAAATCTTACTTGCGCACTCTGCAATACAATATCATATTATTGTATTCAAAGTTACTTTTTTATTTACACATTTTGTCACTTTTGGTTCCTTTTCCAGGTGAGTTATTTCTCAACGTGTGCCTGTCTTAGTGACAGAACTAAATATCCAACATTTTTTCGGACTATCCCAAGTGATAACTTCCAGGCAAAAGCTTTGGCAGCTTTGGTCAAATATTTTGGTTGGGACTGGATTGGAGTGATACAGTCAGACAATGACTACGGACGAAATGGGGTTCTGGCTTTTACTGAAGAGGTTAAAAAGCTTGGGGTTTGTATTGCTTTTGTTGGAACAGTTTCACGTACATACCCTCTGGATAAAATTATGGTTGTTTTGAAAATGATCAAACAATCAACCGTCAAAGTAATTCTGGCTTTTGCTGCAGAGGGGGACTTTTCTCCTTTGATGAAAGAGGTAGTGAAACACAACATTACAGGCATTCAGTGGCTCGCTAGTGAAGCATGGATAACAGCACCACAGCCCTCCACACCTGAAATGTACCAGGCTTTTGGTGGAGCTCTGGGATTTGTGGTGCAAAACATGGCTATCCCAAAACTAAAACCATTTCTAACAGCTATCAGTCCTTACACAGATCCAAATGCGGCATTTGTAAAAGACTTCTGGGAGATAATGGTGGGGTGTAGACTGAATGCATCTGATATGAACAAAGGTGAAGATGAAATAAACAAAGTATGCACAGGCAATGAGAATTTAATGAATTCCCAGGAGGTTTTCTTCAATGTCACACAGCTAAGAGTTGCCTATAATGTGTACAAAGCTGTTTATGCTATCGCACATGCCCTCCATCAGCTGGTATTCTGCCAACCAGCAGGAGAAAAAACAGACAGGCCATGTTTGGACGTCTCAAAAATTAAGCCCAAAGAGGTAAAACAAATTGCAAATACACTGACAATATTTCCAACTACCTGCAAATACATATTCAGACATGTTTCCATGTGTTCTTTTGCACAGGTTGCATATCATCTACAGAGAGTGAACTTCAAAAATGAGTTTGGGGATAGTGTGTTTTTTGATGAAAATGGTGACCCTCCTGCTTCTTATGACATTATCAACTGGCAGCTGAAAAATGGGCAGGTGCAACATGTAAAACTGGGCCATTTTGCATCTGATGAGAATGGCAACTATAAGCTCAGTATTCAGGAAGAAAAGATAGTGTGGAGGACAGGCAAAAAGGTAACAGTGACTTTTCTGTTGTTGTTGTTGTTTTTGTTTAATAAATGTCACATGAGGGCTGTTTCATTACAGGATTCTTAATAGAGCTTGATCCCTTTTCCTCCAGGTCCCGACATCAGTTTGCTCTCATATGTGTCCAGTAGGAACCAGGAAAGCTCAAATTAAAGGGAAACCGACCTGCTGTTTTGACTGCATCCCTTGTGCTGATGGAACTGTGGCCAATTCATCAGGTAGTCAGACATCAATCAAAAGTGTGTGTGACAAACTGATCTAAACATGCACAGTCTGGTGCCACGTGTTCAGTGTTGCTTGCACTCTATTTGATTTCTTATGTGCTCCTGAAATGAATCAACTTGTTTTTTTTTGGGAAATATAGTCGTTACCTTTATGATGAGACAAATGCAAAAATTGACTCTCAACAGGGGCCACAGACTGCACACCTTGTCCACAGGAATACTGGTCCAACGACAGGAAAGATGAGTGCATTCCCAAAAATACTGAGTTCCTGTCGTACCAGGAGCCAATGGGAACAGCTCTGACGGTTGTATCTCTGGTAGGGGCCTTCATGTCACTGGCCACGCTGATGGTTTTTATCCACTACAGAGAAACACCCGTAGTAAAGGCCAGCAACTCTGAGCTCAGCTGCTTCCTGCTGTTTTCTCTCTTTCTGTGTTTTCTCTGCCCTCTCACTTTCATAGGCAGACCCACAGTCTTGACATGTATGCTGCGCCACACGGCTTTCGGTGTGACGTTTGCTCTCTGCATTTCCTGCATTTTGGGAAAAACTATTGTTGTTGTAACAGCTTTCAGAGCCACACACCCTGGTAATAAAGTAGTTGGAAAGTTTGGTCCTGCACAGCAAAAGATTATTGTTTGCTCCTGCACTTTGATTCAGATAGTTATTTGTATATTATGGCTAACTCTCAGCCCCCCCTGGCCGGATAAGGTTTTCAGATACAGCAATAAGAAGATAGTTTTGGAATGTAACACAGGCTCTGAGACTGCCTTCTATGCTGTCCTGGGTTACATAGGGATCCTTACAGTAATATGTTTGGTTCTGGCGTTTCTGGCGAGAAAGTTGCCCGATAATTTTAACGAAGCCAAATTTATCACTTTCAGCATGTTGATATTCTGTGCTGTCTGGATCACCTTCATCCCAGCCTACATCAGCTCTCCTGGAAAGTTCACTGTAGCTGTCGAAATATTTGCTATTCTGTCGTCAGCATTTGGCTTATTGATATGCATTTTTGCTCCTAAATGTTACATAATTTTAATCAGGCCGGAGAAAAATACCAAGAGGCATGTCATGGGAAATAATTTTCACAAAACTTGACTTTCAGGCTATGATATTGATTTGAAATGTGTCAACGTTTCAATGTTCATTAGTATTTCCTCATTCCAAACCCCTGTTTGTTTACATAAAATGTCTTATTAAACTTTTGTACTGTTAACACATTTGGTTAAATGGTCACTCTTTTGAATAAATGTGATTGTGTATGATTATCTTCAAAATAAGAACAATTGACAAGAAAATTTGTAATTATTTGTTTTATTTCCAATAGGTTTGCTTTATTATACCTTAAGGAATAATAAAATAACATCTTGTGAAAGCATTTTCACTTTTGCATCATGTTTTTCTTGTTGTTCTTTCCGGGTTTTAGCAGAATAATATAGCACTTTGGAGCAAATATGCAAAAGAGAAGTCCAAGAGCTGAGGCTAAAATTGCAAAAACATGTACAGCAACAGTGTATTTCCCAGCTGTGCTTATGTAAACTGGGATAAAAGTAATCCATACTGCAAAGAAGATCAGTATGCTGAAGGTGATGAACTTTGCCTCGTTGAAATTATCGGGTAACTTCCGGGCCAAAAAGGCCATGATGAGGCACACGCAAGCCAGGATACCGATGTATCCGAGCACACACCAGAAGCCAACTTCTGAGCCAGTCACACACTCAATAATGATTGTAGCACTGTGGTAGTCTGTATTATAACTGGCATGGGGGGGACTGGTGAGCAGCCAAACGAGGCTGACTACAACCTAGGGGGAAAAAAAGAATTAGAATCTAATTTGATGATGGAATGTCAAAAGAATATTTTTTTGCTCAACTGTTATGGAATTCCGACCTGAACAGCTGTCCCCAAAAGCACACTGATTCTTTGTTGTGTGGTTCCAAACCATTTCATGGCACGACTTCCAGGCAGTCTGGACCTAAAAGCCATGAGGACCACTGTCGTCTTTGCCAGAAGGCAAGAAATACACAGGGAAAAACTGATCCCAAATGCGGGGTACCTGATGCGGCAGAGCCAGTCTGAAGGCTCACCGATGAAAAGCAGGCCGACCAGGAAACAGATGGCAAGAAAGACCAAAAGAAGGAAGCTCAATTCCATGTTATTGGCACGAACTAGAGGCGTGTCTTTGTGTGCAAAAAATATGCCAAAGATAATAAGTGATATACAAGCTCCTAGACCAGATGCAACACACAACAGGAATCCCATCGGCTCATCAAAAGACAGATACTCTATTGCCTTTGGGATGCAGATATTTCTGTCTTTATTGGGCCATGTGTCCTCCGAGCAGCGTGAGCACTCCAGTGAATCTGGAAATGAACAGAAGAAGGATAAAAATGTTACTTTAGCAAAGCCTAATTTAAAGGAAAACTTGGTGAACCTGACAAAAAACTATTATTGTTTGAAATCATGAAAGTATCCCATGAAGTTGCCTCCACCTCCCCCCTTTTTGATAACCTAAGGGACCCATTTTAAATTTGTTTTGAAAAGCATTGTCTGGCACTTTTAGGCTATAGTGACAAGTTAACAAGTAATGGTTTAAATTCAAGTATAGGCTAGTGTATTGATATTAAACAATCATTGATTAAAAGAAAGCGTGACACAAAACAATATATACCAGTCTGATTGCTAACTTCTCCTTCGGCACAGGGGACACAGTCGTAACAGCAAATAGGTTCGCCCTTTCTCCTGGCAACGCGAGAACCTGAGGGACAACTGTCACTGCACACAGACCGGATTGCCTGAGAGGCAAAGTTCAAAAATCAAATGGGCTTTAATGTCTTATGAGAGCTATAAAGACATAATTTCATGAAATGTAAGCAAAAATGTCATCTTATAAGTAATATTTTAAAATGTTATGTTATCTCACATGATCGTGTTTCATATGTTGCAAAATTATCATGCATTATATTCGTAAAACAATGAAGCTTGTTTGGAACCCCATCTATTTTTCCCTCCACAAAAGTAGGTATAATTATACATTTATACATGTTTATTCAATTAGGTGATATTTTTTACTGCCAACTTAAGTAAGTATGTTGAATGCTAACAAAAACAAATCAAGAGACTTGTTTATCAGTAGCGCATACAAAAGTCTGAGAGGTGAGCATGGCCTCAGGCCTGATTGTGGAGAACAAACCTGCTTTCCCACAGGCCACTTGATCATTGAGTCTTTTATAACTAGGCGACGACCAGCTGGCAAAGAGGCATCGTAGAAACCTACTTTTACTAAATGTAGAGAGCCATCAGGTCTCTTCTGCCAGTTCATGAGATCATAATAAGCTATGGGGTCACCATTTTGATCAAAATTTACTTTCTCACCCAGTGCAGAAAAATTAGCCCGCTTCATATAGTAAATAAGCTGAAAGAAAAAAGAGACAGGTTATTTTGATAACAGTCTTAACTTGTCTTTGTGTGTTTTGAATATTGAGTTAAGATAATACATAATTTACAACCAGTCTTACCTGCCAAGGTTGGAAATGTTTTGAGTCTGCACATGTGCCATTCAGGAAAGGCCCTGCTCCGGTTATGCAATTACTCATATCTTGCAAGGCATGGGCCACCAGATATACAGCCTTGTAGACATTATAAGACACTCTTAGTTGTGTCACATCAGAATAAGGCGAGTAAACATGCTTTAAATCCTCTGAGCCTTCACAAGGAACTCTGTTGGAGTGGTTTTCAACCCCTGAAGGTTTACTGTCCATAGATCCATTAAGTTGACATTTAAAGGTTTCTTCCCAAAATTCTGCAAAGTAAGCTTGATTCTGAATGGAGGACGGTGTAAGATTTGTGAGATGTTGTTGCAGTCCTGGAATCATAGCAGCTCTCTGGATGGCAAATCCTAGTGTTCCCATTAGGAGATGTCCAGATTTTTCCCAAAGTGATCTGGCCGTGGCCCAGGCTTCACTGGCGATCCACTGTAAACCAGTTATATTTCTGAGCCGGGTCTCTCTGAGAATGCTTTGCATCTCTGACTCACCAGAAAAGTTAATGATAACCTTTGCAGATGACATCTGATGAATGAGTATAAAGAGGAGATTAGTACTGAAATTTAATGATATTTTGTTTAAAAATACGTGTTGGAGCTTGTGTATTTCTTATATGCAGTAAAGGTCATACCAAGCCTTACATTACAATGAATTGTTGAAAAAGCAATCATTGTGGTACATTTATGAATGAGTAAAGGGTCTTATGATATGTACAGTATCATGTGTTTACCCCACAATGCAGTTTTAGAATAAAAACAGTAGCGTCAACCACATTTTCTCACTTGTGATGTTGAACTCATTGCAGGTGACTTTTTTGTTTTTCTACTTCTATCCCCATGAAATTCAGTGATATATGATAAAGTTACCTCTATAACATCAAGAAGCCCATTGAGAGCCTGCTGGCTGAGCTCCACGGGATAAAAATGTGTGTAGGCCGAACACACACCATACTTCACTGACTCCTGAAGGAAAAGCTGGATGGCAAAGCGGGCGTAATCTGATTCAACACCAATGACTCCCACCCAGGTCCAGCCGAAATAGCTAACCAGCTGAGCCAGGGCTCCGATCTGAAAGGTGTCACTGGGCATAGTGCGCATGAATGTGGGAAACTCCTTTTGATTACTCAGACAGCTGCAGGATGCAAAATAGCTCACCTAGTTCCCCCATGAAAAAAAAACAGAAAAGAAAACAGTAGTGATGGTTTGGCACTGGTTTGGTGGACAAATTTACAACAAGCAATAGAAATGAAATCTTCAAAAACATAGGGACAGCACCACTGTACCTAAAGCAAACGGAATGCAGAATATTTTAGGACAGAAATAATTGTAATTTTATAACATGAAATATTTGCTTTATGAGGCTAATTATTTTTGTCTGTTTCTGTACAATCAAAATTCAGATACATTTATAAACCCTGGTCTGAATGGGACAAAAGCTGAATCGGAAATTGTTGCATGGATTTAAAAATATTAAATTCAGCTACATTGGACTATATTATAATGGTTAAAAAGGCCTGATTTAGGATAGCATAAATACATTATGATTGTACAATCAATTAGGCTCACTCACCAAGGGGATATGGAAGGAACCCAGACTTCGTAGAAGAGCCATGGACACCCCAGAACCTGCATCTCCGATAATTACTGATGACACCGTCCTTTCTACTGCACCACACGTTAAACTGTTGCCTTTTTTTACACTCTGGTTGTTACTCACACTCTCGGCACCAAGGCCTCGCTTTGGCTGGCCATTCACCAACAAAAAGGAGGATCTTAAAGACACAGGTATGTCATCACCGCTGTCGTGGATGTGGTAACCCAGCCTGAGGTGTGGGAGAAGATCCCTGCGCTGGTTGATCTCTTTGATAGCAAAAGTCATGGTCTGCATCCAACGCAGGGCGCGAGAGCTGAAACTGTGCGGAATTGAGAAAGAAATTTACTCAGTACAAATACATCCACATAGAAAAAGCAATCTTCCAAAGGTAAATCTGTGTTCTCTGCACAAGTAAACAAATTACCAGCAACTTACTAATTGTATTTATTAGCTGTTGGTTTTTCTTTATATGTCATAAGAGAGGAAATAGGGCTGTAATGTAGAGGGAATAACCCCCCTATAACAACATCTCCATCTGCAAACAGACTGTTTCGCTGTTCTTCCCCTAAGAAAAGGCAACTATCCTGAGCTGTAGCCGGCCCGAGTTCTCCCCTATAAAGAAACACAAATATAAGAAGCTTTGCAGCTACCAATGCCATGCCTGACTCAGGAGTGAGAGGACTCTCAAAAGACTCAAAGCATTGTGGTATTTTAGGCCACAGCTGATTTATATACTTTAGGAACACACAGAAATATGAGGCCACCGCCCAGACACAAAGGTTGTGACATCATTTAGTGGGAATACTGTGTTTCCTGGTGCGGGCAGAATACTCACCATTGACCACTCAGTCTGTTCCATTAACTAATTTGAAGTATTATCAATTGTTCATTTGATTTAATATAGTATATGTACATGTGTATATTACTGCAAAAGCAGTAACTTTAAGAGTGTGTGTGTGTGTGTGTGTGTGTGTGTGTGTGTGTGTGGCTGTGTATAAAAATTGGTTGGTTACTTTTTTTAGGTTTAAAAGAAAAATACATAGATTCTTAAAAAATGGAATTATACTTTTTTGTTCAGTTTAGATCTTAAGAAGCCTTTTCATGTGAGATATGAAATGTCTTTAATGTCCAACGAGTAAAAATTTCCAAGATTACTTCTGACAATCTACACCAACAGACTTTCAAGGAATTATCTGCAGATAATTCCATTTATCTAAAGAAGGGCTCTTATCCTAGTTCAATTTTGTGCTGACAAACCGACCAAAGGTCAGAAATGACAAACTTGATAATAAGTTGTTATGTTGTTCTTATGGGACCTTCCATCTCAAGCTTTGTTTTTCTGTCTTTATTTGCCATCATTCAGTCCCACTTCAGTTAACTAGGTGGAGCCACCCATATCCAATGAAGATGCCCAGTATCTTTACTAGTAGGGTCACATTTGATATATAACTTGTGACATTTTTCGCTCATTCTCTCTTTTAGGTAGTTCCCAACAGCATGTCTCTGCTGACTTTGTTTTTCATGCTCAACTCAGCCTGTGTCCTCCCTTCAACGCACACCTCAAATGCAAGATTCACTTATCCATCTACAGCTTCAACGAATGCGTGTGTTCTTCGAAACAACTTTCAGCCAAGCTTTGTGGCAGATGGTCAATTTGTCATTGGAGGGATCTTTCCCCTCCATTATAACCAGGAAATGCCTGACCTTAACTGCACCTACCGACCACCACCAGTGAAGTGCAACGGGTGAGCTTGATGGAGCATTCAAAGTTCTGAGTCATGTGTGATTTTGTTACAAACATGTAACATTTTCTATTGACCTAATTCTGTAGGATGTACATTCTATATATTTTTCAGGGTTAAGAATCAGTTTTAAATACATCCAGATGTCCTGTGCTGATATGATGATTTAACCCTTTGAGCTGATGAAATAAGCAACACAGTGTCTGTATTCTACTATGTGTTTTTTAAAGGTCTGCTTTTTTTTAACTGTGTTTTTGATTTTCTTTTGTTCTGGTCTTTGAAATTATTTTCATGAATCTCTCTTACAAATAATCTGAAGAAACTATTAATGTAGAGGTCTAACATAGCAAATAGTTCGTCAAATCTAAGAAAGTAAAAAGAAAGAGAAAATTATTTTTTATTAGAAATGTACTGACTTGTTAAATTATTCCCTTAAAACAGGTTTAGTTATCAATAAAAAAATTGTATTAAATAATTTGTTCATTCATAGGCTAATATACACTGGATCGAAGCAGCCTCTCAGTTTCTAATTGTTTTTATGACACATGTGTATTATGAGTGTGTGTGTGCATCTATGCTGAGTTACAGATTTGATCCCAGGGCCTTCCGCTGGGCTCTAACCATGAGGCTGGCCGTGGAGGAGATAAACCAAAGTCCAGAACTATTGCCAAATTACACCCTTGGGTACAAAATCTTTGACTCTTGTGCCTATCCACTAACCGGTCAGAGGGCTGCTTTGGCTGTGTTGAACGGGCTGAGTGAGAACGACTCTCCTGTGTGCAGTGGTGCTTCTCCACTGCTCGCTGTGATTGGAGAATCAGGTTCCGCTCAGTCCATTGTGGTGTCAAGAATCCTGCGGCCATTCAGAATCCCAATGGTAAAAGCAGCACTTTTTCTCTGAAATCCCTGAAAGACCAACATAATTTCATCATGTTTTTCTGTTCTTTTTTTCTTTTGCAACCAGATCAGCTACTTTTCTTCATGTGCTTGTTTCACTGACAGAAGAAAATATCCAACTTTTTTCAGAGTCATTCCAAATGATGATTATCAGGTGAGAATGTTCCCCTCTCATCTCTTCATTAATACAAATATTCTGTAATCCAAACATTTTTTTTAAAGTCCCAACTATACTACTAAATGACAATGTATGCATTTCTTTTGAAACATATTCTTTTTTCAGGGGGGAGTTGAACTGAAGTATCATTGCGTTTATTAAAGTAGTTAGAATTTGTTTTTCTTAATCAGGTGAAGGCTATTGCCCAGTTGCTGGTGCGCTTCAACTGGACGTGGGTGGGACTTGTCAGAGGAGACCATGAATATGGCCGCTTTGCTGTACAAGGTCTACTGAGGGAATTACAAGGTACCAACGTGTGTGTGGCTTACCAAGAAATGATCCCGCTGCTCTACAATCGCCAGAAAGCTCTGGAGATTATGCAGGTAATTAAAAAAAAGCACAGATGAAGATTAGTTGAAAAATATGTATTTAAAGTTATTATAAAACTCTCAAAAGGGCTAATTGACAAGATATTTTAACAGAAAGAGTGATGAATGAAAAAGTAGCAATCTGATACAGAATTGACTGAGTATGAAGTTTTTCATATTAATGAATATTTTTCTTTGAGACTGCACACTCTCTCAGTGCTTCAACAGTGTAGCTTCATCATACTTATACTAAGGTAAAAAAAAAACACATTTGTGATGCATCAGTCAAAGAACAGATCACATCACACTTTAACATTCATATTGTGACACTTCCAGTTTTTTTATCATCACTTCACAAAAGTGTAATGGATATTTTTCCTTTATTTTATATATTTTTTGTGCCCTTTCCTGCTTAGTCTTCACATAATGTGTTGTACATCAGTTTATATCAAACCACAAACAATTCATCCCTGTCATTATATTCCGTTTTGTAAAGGTGATGCGTACCTCTATGGCAAAAGTGGTAGTGGTATTTTCAGCAGAGGGGGAAATGACACCGTTCTTGAGAGACTACATGATTGAGAACATCACCGGAATCCAGTGGGTCGCCAGTGAAGCTTGGATCACAGCGTCTGTATTCACAGGGAACGAGTATTACCCCTTCTTAGGAGGCACAATTGGGTTTGGCATCAGAAAAGGTCACATCTCCAGACTCAGTGACTACCTGCTGACAGTCAGCCCCCAGAATTATCCCAATAATCGTCTGGTGGATGAGCTGTGGGAGGCCCTGTATGGCTGCAGTCCTTTTCCCTCCTCTGCCTCTCAGCTTCCACTGTGCACGGGACAGGAAATGTTGCTGGAACAGCATTCAGCCTACATGAACACATCCAGTCCAAGAGTGGCCTATAATGTCTATAAGGCCGTATATGCAGTTGCTCATTCGCTGCATAACCTTCTTCTCTGTCAAGAAGGCAGTGGGCCTTTTCAAAACAAATCATGTGCTCAGCCAACCAACGTACTCCCCTGGCAGGTATCATCCTTCAGTCAAATGTTATGATATTGCTTTTTAAACCTCCTTTTGAGACATTTTCCCATCATTTAACCATATCAATTTTGTGGTTCAAGCTACAGCAATATCTCCAGGAAGTTACTTTCAACATGGCCGGGGAAGAGGTGAATTTTGACTTGAAGGGGGACTCTGTGCCCTACTACGACATTATCAACTGGCAGAGGGGCACAAGCGGGAGCATTGAATTTGTCACCGTGGGGCTGTTCGATGGAACCAAGCCTACCGGAGACGAGCTGCTGATCCAGGAGGACAGGATAATGTGGGCGGGGCATCAGAGTGAGGCAAGCTGCTCACACTGTGTTTTTACCTTCATCAGATGCCAACTGTTGAAGTTCTGTAGGTTAAGATGGAGGTGAGTCAGATGGGCAGGAAAGTCGGGATCTGATTTAAATCCCTTTTTTCTTGATACAATAAAGACTGAAAATGCATCAATGGGCAATTTGAAGTGCTTAATCATTCAGTCTTTCCTATTGTATTTCTCATTCTTGACTTCCTCTAAATTGATAACATTGGTTTTGTTACACTGAATTCAAACATGACACTATATATTATGGAATGGAAAGTCCCAAAGTTACCAAACATTATTTGTACACGACTTTTTTCATATATGATCAGAATCAGAATCAGAATCAGAATTAGGTTTATTGCCAAGTAGGTTTTTCACCTACAAGGAATTTGCTTTGGTGTTGGGTGCACAACACTTCTATGAGAAACAAGAAAGGACATACAATGTAGAAATCATTATGTAATGAAACCTGCATTACATAATTATTATTGTATTGACACGTCAAACTATCCATCCATTTTCTGAACCGCTTATCCCCAAATGGGGTCATGGGGTAACTGGAGCCTATCCTAAGACTCAAAGGTTGTACGCCCTGGACCGTCCAGCAGTCCATCTGAGGCCACACAGAGACAAACAACCAGACACACTCACTCCTGACTAACCTGCAGTCATTTGGATGGTGGGGGAAGCCAGAATCTAAGACATTTCAGATAGAAGCTATCCTAATTTTCTCTTAAAATCATGTTAATGATAAATTGCTATCAAACAGATCCTGGTGTACACAGAACTTTTGTTGTTTTTGTTATGCTTCAGACAAAGGGTTGCCTGCTGCCTTGTGCTTAAGACGGATCGCTAAGTAGAAGAGCCTTTAAGACACAGCAGCTTAAACTGTTTTTTTATTCTCTGGAGTCTTGCTGAAATAAGTACATGAGGAAATAGCCCTTTTATTATCAAAGCACATGATAAGCTCTTGTTAATTCCTGTTAATATTGTTGTTTTTTTCAATGTTAGAACTGATTTTTTTGTTTGCATATACATATACATATATATGATATAGCTCACCAGTGCTTGATGACATCATTTGTTTGTGTCCCTCTACAGGTGCCAGTGTCTGTATGCAGCACCAGCTGTCCTCCGGGGTCCCGGAAAGCTGTCCGTCGTGGGGAGCCTGTTTGCTGCTTTGACTGTATACCATGTGACAGTGGCAAAATTAGCAATCAGACAAGTGAGAACGAATCCAAGAAATAAGATTCACATCAGCTCTGATATTTCTCATAGATGTCTTTGCACTATTTTATTCAACTTTTCTTCATTCTATCTCTTTCCTATAGACTCAATAGAATGCACATTTTGTCCAATGGACTTCTGGTCAAACAACGATAGAACAGCCTGCATCCCCAAAAAGGTGGAGTTCCTGACCTTTGACCATTTGGGTATAGCCCTGACAGTTATCTCCGGGGTGGGAGCTTTTCTCACTATGGGTGTTTTTGCTGTGTTCTTCCACCACAGAAACACAGCTATTGTCCGTGTCAACAACTCAGAGCTCAGTTTCTTTATCCTGTTCGCACTCACACTTTGTTTCCTCTGTTCGCTTATTTTTATCGGTGAGCCAACATTTTGGTCTTGCATGCTCCGCCACACTGCCTTCAGCATCACGTTTTCACTTTGCATCTCCTGCATCCTTGGAAAAACTCTGGTAGTGTTGGCTGCTTTTACCGCCACCAGGCCAGGACATAACATCATGAAATGGCTTGGGCCCAAGCAGCAGAGGGCCATTATCTTCAGCTGCACTTTGGTTCAAGTAGTTATCTGTGCTGCCTGGTTGATTGATGCTCCCCCCTTTCCAACCCGTAACACTAAATATGAGCGATCCAAAATCATACTGGAGTGTAGTGTGGGATCGAGCCTTGCATTCTGGTGCGTTCTCGGATACATCGGTCTGCAGGCATGTCTCTGCTTTGTCCTGGCCTTTCTGGCCCGTAAACTACCCGGCAACTTCAATGAGGCCAAGTTCATCACGTTCAGCATGCTCATTTTCTGCGCTGTGTGGTTGGCATTCATCCCTGCATACATCAGCTCCCCTGGAAACTACGCAGACGCAGTGGAATCTTTTGCCATTTTGGCCTCGAGCTTTGGCTTGCTGTTCTGCCTGTTTGCACCAAAGTGCTACATTATTTTATTGAAACCGCAAAAAAATACAAAGCAGCACTTAATGGGGAAAGAAAAAAAGTAGTACGATATAAGATAAACATTTTTTAATCCACCTTTTGTCTTTGACTCATTTCATTTAGAGGAATTACCTTAAAATTTCTTCAAGATATTTTGTGCAGAACATTCACAGAAAGTCTTCAGTCGCAGAGATTATGTAATGTAATGTATTATGTCTTTCCATAAATAAACTGTTAATTACATGACTGATGGTGGTTTTAATCTTGATCTTTCTTGCGGAAATAAATCAAATTTTGTGTTTTATATTACATTTATGCAGTAGTAACAATCATTGCCAAGGGTTAGACAAATCTGTCAAAAACCGCTGTAGGTATTTTATTTTTTTTAATCCCATTTTTTCAATCAAATAACAGACAGGAAGCATTGATGCTTAAAAATTTTAGCCAACACATTTTCAAATCAGCAGCTTATTAGATTTTATGCATCTGTCACAGAACAAGCCATATAGTGAATATTGTCCCTTAAGGTTGGAGTTGCACTCTTTTGTTGTTTTCCTGCTTCAACATGTCCTGAGGTTAACATTCAACAGAATATTAGCTTTCAACAGAGGTTAACATTCTGCATACTCATGTTAATGGTGCATTGATGTGAATCGGATGTCATGACAGCGGCCCTCAGGGACCAACTTTGGACATCCCGATTACAGACATTTCTAACTATATTAGAATTTTTGCGCATCACTTCAAGTTAAGACCGTGTGATAAAGCATTTATTGACTGCAGCTAGTGTAATTATTGCTCCCCTTTTTTGTGTGTGTCTGTGTGAGAGACACAGAGAGGGAGAGAGAGAGATCTTGCGTTTCCCTTTGCGCTGTCAGTTTCTTTATTTTTTGTTACGTTCATAAGGGATGTCATAAAAGAAATGTTAAAGTACTTAACTTAAGCATTTTATTTAGAAGCATGAAAATGAGTTCACATAGCATTTTCTTTTGTTAACATTTTGATTTGTAAAACTTTTAGCTATAAAACTTCACAGGAGCAAGTTAACACCAAAAACATGCACAGATGTAGAATTTATCGCAGATGTTTCCCAGTCATACCTTTCTTAATGTTCCTTTCAGGGTGCAGTAAAATGATGTAACATTTGGGGACAAAGATGCACAGCAACAGACCAAAACTGGAGGCTAAAATCGCAAATATCTCTACTGCCACAGAGAACTTCCCAGGAGAGCTAACATAAGCTGGGATGAAAGAGATCCAAACAGCCCAGAAAATCAGCATGCTGAAGGTGATGAGCTTTGCTTCATTGAAGGTATCTGGTAGCTTCCGCCCAAGGAACGCCAGGAGGAGGCAGACAAAAGCGAGCAGGCCAATGTAACCAAGAACCAGGTAAAATCCTGGAGGCCACGGCTCCTTACATTCCACAACTATCTAAACACGCCCCAAAATAGATGAATGAAGATTTATTAGTATTTATTAGTACATATATTCTAATTGCATTTGATGATATTGAATGTGTAAAAGTTTAGCATTTCTGACAAGGAGTTCTTACTTTTCCAGTTGTGGCTTGGTAGGCCGGATTCCGAAATGGAAAGGGAGGTGCACCCAAAAGCCAGCCAGTGCAGAGAAAAATCTAAAAACAACACAGGGAGTGACAGGGTTTTTTTAGAAGTAGCTGTGACACATTTAGGCTAAATCAGTGACAGTTCCACATTTTCTTCTACCTGAGGAGCTGTAGTACAGAGAATCATGGTCCTCTGCTGAGATGGACCAAATAGCCTCAGGCCCCTAGAGCCAGGTGCAGTAGTCTGAAATGCCAACAGAACCACTATAGTCTTGACAAGTAGGCAGGAGAGACAGATGACAAAGCTGATCCCAAAGGCTGCCTGCCTGAGCCGACATGACCACACGGACGGCTGGCCAATAAACACCAGGGAGCAAAGGAAACACAGCTTGAGAGATAAGAGCAGTAGGAAACTTATTTCTGAGTTGTTGGCTTTGACAATGGGTGTAGAGCGGAAATGGAGAAAGATGGCCGTGACGACGCCCGTCAGGATAACACCCAGCAGGGTTAGGGCAACGAGGATGATGCCCATGGTGTCATAGAAAGACAGGAATTCTTCAACACCTGCAACACATTTCACCCTGTCTTTGTCTGACCAGTAGGACTCAGGGCATTTTATGCACTCCGTTGAACCTTTGGAGACACACAAGAGAGATTTGGGGTGAACAAACACTCACAAGCTGCCAGGCAACTATTATGATGGACATATAGACAAAAGCAAAACATGCATGTGCTACCAGAGTGGTTGCTGATCTCTCCATCAGCACAAAGCAAACAGTCAAAACAGCAGTGGGGCTCTCCTGGACGTCGGGCCTGCCTTCTGCCAGGGGGGCACGAGGCACTACACCGGGAAACAGGAACCTGAGGAAAGAAGTGTAAAAGTGAACAATTACAGACTCATCTCAGGGACATGTAAGATATATTTGACATCAGATTATGGTTTAAGGAACAACCTCGGACTGTCCTCCTGTCCATGTGATGATGTCTTGTTTTATCTGCAGCTGTTGTCCAGCTGAGCCGTCGTAACTTCCCACTTTGATAAATCTGATCACAGCACAAAAGCCTTTAAGATATTTTAGGCCCAAAAAAAAGGAAATCCTGAATAATTACTTTGGAAAAAATACAGGAGGCCAAATACATGGATATGTGGTTTATTTATATTTTATATTTAATTTAATATTCTATATTCATACATATTGTTTATACATGTATCAAATTTAAAATTTGACCTGATTCCACCCTTGTCGTCCTTCTGCCAGTTGATAATGTCATAGAGAGGGACTGGCTCACCGTTAGAGTCAAAATATACTTTCTCCTCAAACTGGTTAGTGAAATTCACTGTTCTCAGATGGTGCAGCAACTACATGCAAAAAAACAAAACAATCTATCTAAATAACTGACTTGAAATAAGCAAATAAATTTACTTTTTGTGACAGTCCCTTACCTGTTTGGAGGTGAAATGTTTGTGTTTCTCACACATTCCCTTATCAGGTCCTGTAGAACCACAGTTCAGTAAAGTGTGCAGCGCATGGGCGATAGCATACACAGCTTTATAAACATTGTAGGATATTCTAACCTGAGATACATCAGTGTAACTGCTGGGACTGAGGCTTAGATCCTCTAAACCTGTACATGCAGGCTTTGCAGCAACACCTTCGTCATCTGCTGATAGTTTCAAAGAGCTTTTCTGTCTCTCAATAGATGTGTTTTTATTGTTACTAGGACTATCGGCGCTATTTTTAGTAGTTCTGACTGACCCAAGGTCAAGCTTACAACCAAATTGTTCTTCCCAGAACATATTAATAAATTCCATCCCTGGTTGGGAAGATGGGCGAACACTCAAAAGAAACTCTTTTAAGCCGGGGATCCTGGCTCCAGGGAAGGAGAAGCCCAGCGTTCCTTCTAAAAGAGGATGGAAGTGGGGTGAAGTTAGAAGGCTGGCAGTCACCCAGGCTTCACTAGCCACCCACTGTAGGCCAGTTAGATTCCTCTGAATAAGCTGAAATGACAAACAAAATCACATATATTTACATTAGTATATTTTACGCTGCTTTTTTACTGTAGGGCAACCAAGATACTCACCTCTAAAAACAGATCCAGGAGCTGTCCCTCTGTGGCAAAGACCACCACAACCTTTGCTGTGGAGCTCTGCAGTCTGTCTGCCATTTGTTTTATGTCACGCAGAGTGGGTGATTTTGGAATAGTCAGATGAAATGCCACACAACCCCCTTCTTTTTTAAACTGATTAGAGAATGCTTGGATGCCATATTGACTGTAGTCATCCTAAAATGTATTTAGAAACATTTTGTAATTTCTGTGGTGACTTATAAGGACTTATGACCTGAAAAAAAAAACAATCTTCATCTCACCGTGGTTCCTAGCGTTCCCACCCAAAACCAGTCTAGGAAGGTGACGAGCTGTACGAGACCTCTAACTTGAAACAGATCACTTGGCACCGTTCGCAAAAATGACGGGTACAAATGCTTGTTAGTGAGACAGGTACAAGTGGCAAAATAACTCACCTAGTAGGAGACAGAGTTCATTTCATGAACAAAATTAAACATTTTGACACACTGACATTTTACAATTATCAAATCAGAAGAAGTGGAATCAGTGACAGGGCACAAGTGGGATTCCATTTTCTGATTTTCTTACCAGTGGGATGTTGAAAGGGCCAAGAGCTTCAGCCATGGCTCTTGTCGGGGAAGAGGACGCAAGACCGATCACAGCAGAAATGGGAGAGCCAAACAAACAACTGGAATTTTCCAGCTGTGTTATTGTTCCCCCTTCAGTTTCATTATTGTTCACATAATTTGATTTGTTTCTCACTTTAAAAGGCATTACAGTGGTAAGGTCCACAGAATTCAGCCTAACTTTTCCAAAATCCTTTTCATTTGTCAAATCAAATGTGTTTTCACTCTCTGCTGTTTGCTTGTCTTCATTATTTGGAAGATTAGATGCCGTGATTAAAGAGAGAAGGGCTTGCAGGCTGGTGTGGACATTGTCACAGCAGTCCATGATTCTGTAGCCTAAATGAACACCCGGTAAAATGTTTGAATTATGGTTAATTTCCTCGATTGCGAAAACCATCGTCATCATCCAGCGGAACGCTCGGTGGTCAAAACTGCAAAAAAATGGCAAAATTGAGAAAAGATTGAGACTGGAGTTTTACAGTAACATAAATCATGCATTGACATTGGGGCATAAACAAAGAAATATCAAAACAATTTGTTTATAAATACAATTTTCAGTGTATTGTAACAATTGAAATAAAATTATAGCAGGTATAGTTTTTTTCACACTTACCCACTACAAGGTGTGATTTGGGGTTTGCTTTGATAGGTGTGCTGTGGCTCTAAGGTTCCATAATGTAAAGGAAAAATCCCTCCAATAACAACATCCCCCTCAGATTGTAAAGCTGGAAGCTCACTGTCTCCCAGTTTCTTGCACTTAGGTGAACTAGAATCAAAACTACTCACTCCCTCTATTGCCAAATCATTAAGCCTGTCTCTTCTTTTTTCCTCGACACCTCCTATTACATGTATAACCTTTCTTTCTCTAACAGAATGAGAAACTCTAAGAAATACAATGAAAAGTATGCTAAAAGCACAGAGACGCAGCAAATGAAAATCCCCAAAATGAGTTGGATGCATTGTCAATACTTAGCTAAAAAAGACTGTGTGCCTGTGTATGCTGGAGTCAATGCTTCCCCAATAAAGCTCCTGACGGGCTAACAAGTTGGACAATATTAAAATTTATGACGCTTGCTTAATTTCATAGGTCATGTAAGTCATAATAAGATCAACCAATCAGTGAAAAGCAAGAATATAATTTGGATGTAGTAATGACAACCATCCAATGAACTTTGACTTTCTTAAGAAATGTGACCACTAGCAGGTTGATGTTAACAGTTCACTCTTTGTCAGTGTGGTCAGAGCTATTGATCATTATCAGCATTTCTGATAGATCAGGTATTACAGAGGTCCACATTGGGCCCTTTACACGGGAAAAACGGCCTCGAGCTCCTTGACTTTGGCAATGGCTGCAAACTAAATGCAAAAAGAGAATTGTACAATTCCATCCTGTCTATGAAAAATCACATGATGAGTATCTAAAAAATCTGGGATGGACTGGCAGACTGTCCAGGGTGTAACCTGTCTCTCGTTCATTGAATACTGGGATAGGCTCCAGTCCCCCCACGACCCCATTTGGGAATAAGCAGTTTAGAAAATGGATGGATGGATTTTTTTTTTAATGTGTATCCTATCCTTTTAATCATCAATGTGGTTTGTGTTTTTACCTAGTTGTGGTCCCTAAAAGTGAGCAGAGTGTAATGAACATGATGCTCAAGAAAAAGGACCAGGTTTACATTGCAATGCCCTGCATTTATTTCTATTTTTATTTTTTTATACTGATGTGCTGTAAAGCAATTTATAAAATTATAGTGACCATATCTACTGTTCTAACCCCTTGAGGGAAATATGAGGCACAGGGTGTAACAAAATGTATTAAATAAATATATAATAAAATGACAGGAGAAACCAGCTCACCTTTACAAAAGGCTTTATTTTGGCCGGGTTTGGTTCAGGGTGCAACCAGGGACTTCATAAACAACACATATAAATACCCCTTCTAACTAAAACATCAAGATAAGTCTACCCTAACCAAACAAGTACAATACTGAATATCCCTAAATTACCACAGAACAGGAGAAAATTAGGTTGAAGAGAATGGAGGCAAACTCCTTAAGAAACTTAACATATTTCTAACATAAAACAAAACTATTTCTAACAAGGAACAGTTCCTGTTACCGTTGAGAAAGAGTTAAAACTATAAAGTATAAAAAACTAAACCTCAGAGTCAAACTAACACACAGAGGCCCGTGAAGACATAAGGGGTGTGGCACTTTTATGCCATTCCCTGATGAGGAGAAACTGACTTTGGCTGTAAAAGGTGTGACAGCAGGCCTGCAAGCATGAGAAAAAAAACAAGCTCTCTAGTAAGATTCAGTTCATATAAACCCTTAGAAAGGAAACATTTTTAAACTCATGATGAAAATTATCTTTTTAACTTTGATGCTTGACATTAGTACAGTAAAATGTAGCACATAAAAGGGAAATTTTAATTTAAATTTTTTTATAATTCCACGTAAATAGATGTTGTCAAATCAACTTCATTGCAATCTTCCAATGTAATATTGTTAATTTTTATTCATTAAATATTTCTTTGTGTTCTTTTCTGGCTGAAATAGTATGATGAAACACTTTGGAGCAAATATACAAAATATTAGTCCAAAACTGGAGGCCAGAATGGCAAATATCTCCACTGCCACAGTAAATTTACC